AAAATATTTTCAAGACGTGGATGCTTGAATCCATGGATAAAAAAAAATATATCTGTGGATACAGAGGGCTGACTGTATTATATATAGCCTTAAATTGATATTATCGTAGGCTACCCTTGGGTATAGAGTGCGATACAAATATCTTAATGAAATAAGTAAACCCAAGCATGTCGAGAATTTTTTTCCCCAATGACAACTCCCAGAATCCCCACAGCCATACCCTTGGATGTATTTATTTCATCAAAATACCGGTATTTGTATCCCGCTCTGTACACAAGGCTAGCATACAAGAATATCAATACAGCGTGCTGGTTTGGGGGGGATTCTGGGAGATATTATTTAAAAAAATTATCTGTATGCTTGGATTCATTTATTTCATCAAAATATTTGTATCCCACTCTGTACCCAAGGGTACCATACAGTAATATTAATACAGCATGCTGGCTGGGGGGATTCTGGGAGTTGCAATCCAAAAAAAAGGAAAGAAAGAAAGAAAGTCTATGGGAAAGGGACATTCCCTATTCTCCCCCCGCTGCACAAATAACAGCATACTCTTCCAATCGGTCCGGAGACCCCCATCCACGTTCGGGGTCAGTGTCACCGTGGCCCAAGTGGACGAAGGAGCTCCGGATGGGGAGGCTGATCCGGGGTGCGCCAGCTGTTTCCTCGGCTGCCACTGTGGATGATGGGAAGATGCCCACTTTCAGGGTCCGCTTGTTCTGTCCTCGCCATGTGGATGAATCAGGACTGGAAGAGAAGGGAAAGGAAGGAGAGAGAAAGGCTTTAGGACGCATGAGTTGTTCCTGGGTCCAGGTTCCCACTCCCAGTCCTGCTAAAAGAAAGTCCCAGACAGAATCACAACCTAAAATAAGGCAGAGGGACCTCAGAAAAGAAACCATGTCCTGCAACATTTCCCAGGACACATGTGGTCAAGTAACATCAGCCAAGGTTATGATGGAGGAAGGACAGAAAAGCCGGGAGAGGCTGCAGGAGTTTTGCTTTAACTGACTGGGAAAGGCAAGACTTCATCCCTCTCCTCTCCTCTCTTCTTGCTGAGTTAATGGAGTGCAAACAGTTTTTGACCTCTGAATTCAGTTTGCAGCAAAGGAAGTAAACTGAGGACAAAGGGGGAAGTGGAAGGAGAAACCAGGACAATTTAAAAGCAGCTGAAAAAGTGGGATGGCAGAGGATTAATCAGGATTGTCATGTTGATTTATGAAACATCAAAGGGAATGGGCAAGTCACACTCTCTCAACCACAGAGGAAGACAAAGGCAGCCTTAGAAAAGCCTGTGATAGGTTTGCCTTAGGCTTGCCATAAGTCAACTTGAAGGAACACAAAAACAGCAACATTGGATTGGACACTTGAAACAGGATGCCAACCAGGGCTGCATCTGCACTGCAGAAATAATCCAGTTTGACACCGCTTTAACTGCCATGGCACAATGCTATGGAATTCTGGGATTTGTAGTTTGTTGTGGGCCCAGAGTTCTAAGGCTAAACAGCTCACCAAACGACAAACCCCAGGATTCCACAGCATGGAGCCTTGGCAGTTAAAAGCTGTGTCAGAGTGCATTAATTCTGCAGTGTAGATGCAGCCTAAGAGGTGTCAAACTGCACTAATTCTGTAGTGCTTATGCATGCTTAGATTGCAAGAGCAATGGGCTTCAAAGGTTATTTCCATGGAGAACCCTGGGAACCAAAACTGGCGTCTGAAGGAGACCTAGGTAGACTCACCTGCCTTCGATAACCGTGATGGAGTCACCTGCCTCCAGCCGCAGCCATCCTGGCTCCGTCAGGTCCTGGGAGGCCTTCACTTCCTTTGGACGGAGCTGAGATGAAGGAAAAGAAGGATGGATTAGGGCAAAAGGCCCAGGAAGACATGGCTTGGGTTCAGTGGTTGGCAAATTGGCAAAGGGCTCAGACAAGGCTGCATCCTCTCGCCCGATCTGTTCAACTTATATGCAGAAACTTATTATAAGAAAAGCAGGCTTGGACACAAAAAAAGGAGGAGTGAAAATAGGAGGAAGGAATAGCAAAAATCTAAGATATGCAGATGACACCAGAATACTAGCAGAAAACATCATAGGCTTAAAACACTTCCTAAGGAAGATCCAAGAAGAAAGTGCAAAGGCAAGCTTAATATTGAACATCAAGAAAAGAAAAATAAGACCAGCGAGGACCTTCACAAGTTCAACCTAGACAATAAAGAAATAGAAAGAGTCAAAGAACTCCCATACCTGGGATCCAACACTGATAGAAATGGGGACTGCAGCCAGGAAATCAGAAGAAGATTTAAGAATGGGGAGGATGGCTATGAAAGAACTAGAAAAGATCCTAAAATGCAAAGATATACAGCTGGGCACAGAAGTTAGAATGGTACAAGCCACTGTATTCCCTATTTCCATGGATGGAGGTGAGAGCTGGACAGTCAAGGAAGATGATAGGAAGAAAATCAATTTATTTGAGAGAATGTGGTGCTGGAGAAGAGTGCTGAGGATCCCATGGAGAGCCAAAAGGACCAACAAATGGGTCCTAGAGCAGATCAAGCCAGAAATTTCCCTGGAAGAAGCCAAGATGACAAGACTGAGACTGTTGGACTTTGGAGACATCATGAGAAGAGAGGACTCTTTGGGAAAGGCATTTATAATGTTAGGAAAGGTGGAGGAAGAGAGGAAGGCCCCATGCTGCCAGATGGAGGGACTCTACTATTAAAGAGGTTCCTATGGGGATTAATGAAGGGAATGCAGGATTTAAGGAGAGCAGGGGAGCAGAGAGGGTCTTCTTCTTGCAGAGGCCTCATCCAGAGGGTTGCTATGAGTCGACAACAACAACAACAAAGAGTGGTTGGAGTGTAGGACTATGACTCTGGAGACTAGGCTTCGATTCCCTGCTCAGGCATGAAACCCACTGGGTGACCTTGGATGAGTCACACTCTCTCAGCCTCAGAGGAAGGCAATGGCAAACCTCCTCTCAACAAATCTTGCCAAGAAAACCCCAGGACAGGGTCTCCTTAGGGTCAGCATAAGTCGGAAACGACTTGAAGGCACACCACCACTGCCACAATAACAAGAAAGGAAAGATTCCTAAAAGGAATCTTGCCAAAAATATGAGGGTCTTCATGTTTTTAGAGCCAGCATGGCACTGAGGTTTGAATGTTAGACTAGGACTCCAGGATATCGGGATTCGAATCCTTGCTCAGCCATGGAAAACCGCAGTTGACTTTGGGCAAGTCACTCTCTCTCAGCCTCAGAGGAAAGCCATGATAGCAACAGTCCCCTGAACAAATCTTTCCAATAAAACCTGCATGATGGGTTTGCCTTATGGTCCTCATAAATGGGAAATTACTTATACCGCGCAACAAAGAATTGTAAAAATTTCCAGAAATTTTGAGGCTGAACATATAATATATATATTTTTCCCCAGGAAAAATAAGAGACATTTTCTGAAAAACTGGGGAGGATGCCACAGATTGAAAGTCGCTTTGTTACTTGAGCAACATAACATGCATTTATGTAAAACCTGGGTTGACATAAAAGCATCATGTTTGATATATTAAAAGCAGTTTCCCCCCAGAATATGTTTACAAATTGAATGTACTTTTTTTTAAAAAAAATAAATTATTATTATTGTTATTATTTTGTAAATGGAGTTCCAAGGTCTTGAGCAGCAAGGAACCTCTTAGCATTTGCCGCTTACGAAAACCTGGCAAGAAAAAGCAATAAAAATAGACAAAACCTTCAACACTAGCAAAACCAAACAAAAAATATTTTGTCTTTTCTAGTCCTCAATTGGGTTAAGCAGACATGAAACTTCATTCCTATACAAAGAACCGAGAAAAAGAAACAAGTCCAGGAATGGCACTAGTGTCAGATAACTATATGCAGCCTTACATAAAACTTTACCCGCTACATAACTTTTAGAAATAATGTAGGAGGAATAGACGTAGCAACACTTTATCTTAAATATTTGATGCTTCATTTTAAAAGAGAATATTCCATAACTCATTTTTCCCCAATTTTTCTGGAAGAGAACTTTTGGGGAGAGGGAAACCCAGGAGAAACAGGCCTCTTCCTCCAATTCTTCTGCTTTTTTCCACCCAAGGATTTATGTATGGCCTGAAAGATGGATAGAATAGGAAGAGAATTAACTCCTTTCAAATATAGTGCTGAAGGAGAGATGTTCTACAGATCCCAGGAATGCAAAAAAAGACAAATAAATGGGTCCGAAAGCAGATCAAGTCTCAACTCTTCCTAGAAACCAAAATGACTAAACAGAGGCTGATCTGCTTTGGACTCATCAGGAGAAGACATGACGCATTGCAAAAGGGAAGGGCTGCGTCTGCACTGCAGAAATCATGCAGTTTGGCACCACTTTGACTGCCATTGCTCCATGCTACGGAATGCTGGGATTTGTAGTGCTGTGAGATATTTAGCCTTTTTTGTCAGAGAGCGCTGGTGCCGCAACAACTGCAAATCCCAGGATTCCATAGCACAGAGCCATGATGGCTAAAGTGGTATCAAACTGCATTATTTCTGCAGTGTGGATGCAGCCGAGGGCAGCGGGTAAGTTGGAAGGCAGTAAGAAAAGAGGAAAACCACATTACAGGATTATATCAGGAAAGCCACTGCCCTGAGTTTGCAAGACCTGAGCAGGTAAATTGGAAGACAACAGGAAAAGAGAAAGATCACATTACAGGATTATATCAAGAAAGCCTGAGTCTGCAAGACCTGAGCAGGTAAACTGTAAGGTGATAGGAAAAGAGGAAGATCACATTACAGAATTATATCAGGAAAGCCATAGCCCTGAGTTTGCAAGACCTGAGCAGGGCTGTTGATATCAGGGTGACTTGGAGGTCTTTCATTCATGGAGTCACCTAAGTCGAAGTTGGCTTGATGGCAGTTAACAACAGCAATTTCACATCTCTAGGTGTGGGGTCCAATTTGTAGCCCCAGCCCCAACTGGGAATGAGGGTGATGAGAGCCATCCTAAATTGAACCTGGAGTTTTATCCTCAGTGGTTTGCGTGTGGGACTACAACTCTGGAGACCAGGGTTCGAATCCCTGCTTAGCCATGGAACCCTGTGGGTGACCTTGAGGAAGTCACACACTCTCAGCCTCAGAGGAAGGCAACAGCAAGCCTCATCTGAACAAAGAATCTTTGCAAAGATCTTTGCAAGGAATAAAAAAAAATCATAGCATCCTAGAGTTGGAAGAGACCACAAGGGCCATCCAGTCCAACCCCCTGACATGCAGGAACTCACAATCCAAGCACAGTCGAAGCACATATTGCAGATCGTTCAGACAAAGGAAACCCCATGATAGGT